CCGAAGGGGAAGCCTGTCTCCAAGGGAAAGATTTCATACAGTGCAGACCACCTTACGGGGAATACTGAAGCTGAGACAGCCGTCCTGAAAGATGGACAGGACCATGCTTTGTCCAGGGCTGCTTAGACATAACCCTCTGTTTAGCCCTCAACTTCACGTCAGGACACTGAGGATGAACTGAAGGTAGATGCTGTCAGGGACTAGTCACCGGACCTCACCCTTCCTAATGTGGTCACACTGAACGGTCCCCTGCCTTTTCACTATGACGGTGTCCCTTTAATTGGCCAACTGAGGATGAGTGGCTTCCCCTACCTTGTTAAGGCTGCCAGAGCCCAGGTTCAGACGCTAACCACTCACCATTACCATCATTTGCTTTATGACCCTTTCCAAAGTGCGCATGCCTGCCTCAGGGGCTCCCTTACCTCAGTCTCCACACATGCACCTTCATGTAATCCTGGGCTCTCAGCCTCCCTAAGGCTGCCGCCCTTTAATACAGTTCCTCATGCTATGCTGGCCCCTAGCCATAACATGATTTTTGCTGCTACTTTGTAACTGTAATTTTGCTACTGTTATGAATCATAATGTAAACGTCTGGTATGTAGGATATCTGATATGTGACCCCCGTGAAAGACTCGCTCGACTCCCAAGGGGGTTTCGACCCACAGGTTGAGACGCACTACTTGAATCAGAAACATTCCTTTTTAATATTTGCTTGTTAAACTACTTACTGTTCCTTTTATTTTCATTTCTTTTTATTTCGCTGGGAATCGAATTCGGGGCCTGATAGGCATGACATATGCATGACAGGAATGTAATCTATCACCATATTCTATTCTACTCCCTCCTGTTTATTTTATTTTAATTTTTTTTGCTGTTGTTTGCTTTTGGAGACAGAGTTTCTCTGTGTGGTCTTGGCTGTCTTGGAACCCGCTCTGTATACCAGGCTGGTCTTGTACTCAAAGATCTATCTGCCTCTGTCTGTCTATGCTGGGATTAAAGCCTGTGCTGTTGACTTTTCAAGGTCACAGTTCACATGTCCCTTTCTCTCGGAAGCTGTCCATCAGCCTGGCAGAGGCCCACCTGTGTCAGGCTTCCACACAACCCGTTCTCCTTGCACCATCTCAGCTTGGTGATTCAGTTCTCCCTCCTCCAGCTCCAGCAGGAGGAGAGCTGTACAGAGCTCCTCTTACCCCAGGGCTCAGCTCACTGACTTGGTGATCGATATGTCTGGAGGTTGAAGGGAGGGAGTCGCAGGGGAACAGGCAGAGTCTGCCTCATTTGTCTCCTACTGATGGGCTTTGGCTGTAGGCTCTGTACGATCACTACCCTTTCTTCCAGCTTTTTTTTTTTTGAAGCATATAATATCATTATCTACAGCTTCCAACTGTGTTGCTTCACTTGGCCCCTTTAAGTGCTATTATACACGAGTGAGTTTGACTCTTAAGGGATGTGAGTGGGGGGATCACTGATCTTTTCAAATCAGTGTGTCCAGCATCTTGAGCTGGTAAAGTCTGCAGTTGGTGTACAAAGGTGAGCTTCAAGGTCCTGCCTGATGCTGCACCACACTCTCATGCAAAGCTTCTATGTTTCTGCTCCTCATCCACGAGGACCCAGGTTCTGCTCTTCTATCCAGGTCTCTGCACCGGCCCATGTTCTTAGCAGGTTTTTCTTCCATATCGCAGCTTCTGGGGGTGTTTCCCAGGGCCACCCTGCTGTCTTCCAGGTCCACAGTTTTCAATGCCACCTTCTTCTCAACAGCTGTCACCACCTGGCACACTCTAGATTTTGTTTTGTGCTCTCTACATAGCCCTGGCTGCCCTGAAACTTGTCTAGACCAGGCTAGCCTGGAATTTAGAGAACCGCACCTCCTCTGTCTTCCAAATGCTGGGTTTAAAGGCGTGTGTCACCATGCCAGGCTACACTCCACATTTAACTGCTTCTTTCAGTAAATGTAAATGCCTCTTGGGTAAGAGTTTTTGTCCTCCTGATGAATCCCCAACATCTCATTCTTGGTATATAGTGTGTACTCAGTGACTGATGTCTTGGTGTGCAGGCTTTTAGAGAACAGCCCCAACAATAGCAAAACAGGAGACACAACTTAAAAAAATGTAACGAGCTCAAATACATATTCTCTAATGACTATATATGTAACATATATGCATATATTGTATATATATATGTGTATACACATATAATGTATAAAGGGCCAATAAGCACACAGAAACAGTACCATGGGGATGGAAAGATAACTTTCTGCTTTATCAGGAGCCTGGAATTCAGACTGGTATCCATATCACAGGCCTTATAAACTCTGTAACTCCAGCTGCATGGGATCTGATGCCCCACTTACAGTCTCTGTGCGTACCCCCCCACACTGTGCCTATGTAATACAAATAAAATAACGGGTTTGAAATATAGTACCATAAATCATCATTCAAAACTACATATGCACTAGGATGGCTACCATCAAGAAAAAAAGGAGAAGAAAATGACAAGCTCTGGCAAAGGTGAGAAGCTGGAACCTCCCAGCATTGCTGGTGGGAAGGTAAAATGATTGAAAAACAAAACTTTCAGTAAAAAAAATAAACAGAACTAGGATAGAATCCAGAAATTAATAAAGGGTTTGTATATAATACCCGTGCCCATCACAGGTTACACAAAAGGAGGAAGATGCTTAGGGTGGAAAGTTATTCAACCTTCAGAGGTGACTCACACCATGACCTGGGTAACCCAAAGATGTTATCCTGAATCCTAAAATAAGACTGATACAACATGACAAATGTTGCAGAATTCTCCTTATTTTAGGTACCTGGAGTGGTCAAACCCATGGAGAGACAAAACAGACTGGTGACTGCCAAGGACTCAGGGGCAGGCAGAAGGGGGAATTAGTGTGCACAAATTCATCTCTCTTTTCTTCTTCCTCTTTTTTTTTTTGAGACAGGATTTCTCTGTATAGCCCTGGCTGTCCTGAACTCTCTCTGCAGATCAGGTTGGTCTCAAATTCACAGAGACCCACCTGCCTCTGCCTCCCCAGTACTGGGATAAAGCATGCACCACCACTGCCCCAGGAAACATCTTTTTGAGAAGATGACAAAGTTCCAGAGGTGGGTCGTGGCTATGGTTGCACAAACATACTTAATGCCACTAAACTGTACGCCTCAAATGGTTAAGGTGGTAGATGTTAATTACCGACATTTGACTACAATTAAAAAGCAACAGAGGAAAGAAAGGAATGTCTAGTTGTGCCCACTCTGTCCAGCTCCTCCAAGGCCCCTCCTTGAGGACAAGTCTCACAAAGATTCAGAACCATCACTGGCAGACTCAGGGCTCCACCCCAGGGACACACATCCTGTTCTCACTGTCCCTATGGAGGAGTGCAGTAGTAAGAGAAATACTATCAACAACTGGCCTGGGGACAAATGTCCAAATGTTCCATTATTCCATTATTAGCATCGACTCTCAGTTTCCGACCTCTGTCCAGCCACAAGTCCACCCTCACAAAAATCCCATCAAGCGGGAGTCAGGGAAAGAATTACATAACCCCCCAATTCACAAGGGAGCACACACAAAATCCAGTGAGCCTTACACAGTGACTGAAGAGGGACTGCCCTTCTTAGGAGACCGATCATTAATTAAGAGGCATTAAGACATTTTATTTTATGTGTATGGGTCTGTATGTGCGCCACACGCATGCAGTACCCACAGAGCAGGGTGTCAGTTCCCCTGGAACTGGAATTATGGACAGCCGTGAGCTGCCATGTGGCTGCTGGGACCTGAACCTGGGTTCTCTGCAAGAGTAGCCTGTGTTCTTAACCACTGAGCCATCTCTCCAGCCTTGTTCATATTAAGGATTTCTTCAGCAATGACTGACTAGCTCAAAAAATTCCCACAGACCAGTACTTGATTTCACAATCGCCACCAGTTTCCTTCTACCCTTTGGGAGTTACAGAAACCCAAAGGCTAAGAGGATACACAAGTATCTCAACGTTAACGAGCCAGCGAGTCCTAGATGACTGCGCCATCTGGCTGCAGAGCTCGCCCATGTAACCGGTACCATCCTGTCCTCCCCAGTGAAGACCTAACTTGGGTTCTTTGGGAAAGACCTCAATCCCATGCTTCCTTCAGCTGAAGCAAATGCCAGAGAACCCCAGAGGTCGCTGTGTCCCGGCTCTAAACTCATCTCAATACTTTGGCTATTCTCTGAGCCTAAATGAAACAAGTCACTATTTTCTAGGCTAAGAAGGAACCCCTAGATCTTTTTAAATTCTGCATGTTTTATATTTAAAAAAAACCTACTAAAGAACCAATAGTCACATTTGGGCCATCTCATTTAATGCACCCTGATTTTTCCACAGGCTGCTTCTCCATGGGGCTGTGCTGACCCACAGGGTTGAGGACACCTTCATCCTTCTCCAGGGGCTCCTGCAGACCTTCCAGGGGGCGGTGTCTGCTTTGTTCTCCAGATACTGGAGAGGGCATGTACCCTGGGGCTTGTCACTAGGAGGGCATTTGGTCTGCCAGGCCATCCTGTAGGATGCAAGGGCCTGTGGCCAACTGAAACAAATATTAACTTGGAGGGATATTAGGAACAGGTTCCAACCGGTCAGATACAATGGCTGGAGAAGGGGAAGACAGGGTCACAGTCATAGCTGGGCTCTGAGCCAAGAGCTGGGGTATCTTCCACCGCTCACAAGAGGCTTTTAGGTCACATCCTCCACAAAGAAAAAAATTGGTTTCTTTGAAACCACCAGAGATTATATACATTGGCTCCTAAAACAAACTACGTACAGTGCTGGTGCTGTGTTCACTTTGTTAAAAACACAGACGCCCGCTCACCTACCACGCGCCCCCTTCAGCACGGAGTGTGTGGCGACCCTGCTGCCTCACGGCTTCTGCAGACTACCTTCTCCTGCGTCCGTTCTCACCTGGACGAGGCCCTGGCATGCTACAGTGGGGTTAGAGTAGGCGACTACCAAAGACATGGCAGGGACCGTGCTTACGGAGTTCTCCTTCAGTTGCAGCCCTTCCCCGTTGGGAAGGGACGACCTGCGCTTGGAGTTTCTGTTTGGGGTGGAAGTCACGGCTCCGGCTTTCTTCTTCACAGTGAGCACCTCGCAGCTGGCTTGGTCCTCATTGTGCGTGCTCTTTCCGGCATTGATAACCCTGAAGAAGAAGAAGAGGCCAGAAAAACCTGATCAGAGGGTGGTTTCTTGGAAGCTGAATGCTAAGCCTCTGTTACAAGGGTTAGTCAGCCAAGGATGCAGTGGGCCCATGGCCTCCATATTTTACGTCCCGAGTAAACTGAGCTGTTGAGAATGGAATGGCATTAGCACCCTCTGCTGCATTCACTGAGGGAGTTGTTTGGATCACAGCTCACTTCTGCAGGTGTCTGTTAGAGGTGGCAGCCCTGTCCCCCTCCCCCCCTCCCATGAAGCAAGCACTCCTTCAGGTCAGGTTAATCGGGAGCCTGAACTGTTTGGCAGTTACAACACTGACAGACAGGGTAGTTCGGAGAATTCTGTTCCATTTCCCCAAGTGATAAAGAGCAAAGTCACTATCGATCTTACTAAAGAACACGGCAGCAATTTACAGCGTATCGTAAAGTCTGAGGGAAGAGAGAACCCTGCCTCACCATGCCCCCCTCACTTTATCACTCGATTAGATCAAAGGTGTGCTGCCTGCACCTTCTTAGCTCTGCCTCTTATCCAGCTGCCCAATGGACAGGAAGACACACCAGAAGGCCCCAAAGAGTATGGGCAATGCTTTGGTCTAATGTCAATTGGATCCGAATGCTTTAGGAAAACAGGCTCCACCGTTCATGTAAAGTCCAGGTACCTGCAGACTCAACTCTGTGTGTCAGCCCCTCTGGTTTACTGAGCAGTGGTTGAACTAGGTTTCCTAAGAGAGAGCTCCCTCTACTTGCACACACACACACACACACACACACACACACACCCCTCTGAGTGATGCAAGAGATTTGAGGCAATCTTCAGCCAAATCCAGGGACTGTACAGAGGTGTCTCACACATTTTCACACTTTATTTTTATTTATTTTTAAAGCCTAAGCGCTTTGTAAAATGAAATAATTAAAGAGTTCAAACCTTGTGACTTCCTTTTGAATTGCACAGACTCTTGGGCATGAACCTCAGTCCTTCGCTTACCCATAAGTGTTGCACACACAGCACTATTTCTCATTGAGATATGTCTTTCTTAATGAACTATAGTGTTGCCTCACACAAAGCTCACTTCTGTACATTCATGTAATCAGAAACGGTACCTTTGTCATGACAAGCTTTTTACCCCCACCCTTTTTTTCTGAATCGAGAAGTATCATTAAAAAAATACCATTTTTAGGTTGGCAAGATGGCTCAACGGGTAAAACCATTTGCTGGCAAGCCTGGCAATCCAGGTTTGAAAAAGAAAATAACATTACCATTTGTGATTACTTATCTGCATGCTCTAAGAAAAAGGCTGGGCCAGTAGCCTACCGTGTGCTCTATTTCAAAGTTTTGTATTCATCAAAACCACTTCATTGTTCTTATTGGTGTTGCTACAATTTTTCATTTCAGCTGCTTTTAAAAGCAAACTCGACTTTCACTCATTTCGCATACCATAGTTTTTTGTGATAAAAAAATTTCAAGTCCATTTGTACTTATAACATTTCAGTATCACCTTCTTGGGGATAATAAGGAGGTGAGTGTTCCCACGGGCCTCTCTGAGGTCAAATGGGCCTTGCAGGTGATTTTACCTGCTGTGGAGTGGTTGGGAGACAAGGGGTGTCTTATCTGCACTCTATCTTCCCTAAGGCAGGGACATTTTTGGATATACACGGTTAGGTTACCTATAAGGTAATGATTAACAGCACCATGCTGATTGCCGAAGTCCAGTAATTGACTCAAGTGTCACAGGGAAGGCCACCAAGGGAGAAAGATGCAGTGTACTCAGACCCCGTCTCAACTCTTGCCCTGTGCACCAAAGGGGCATCAGACAGTCTGTGACAAGTCAAGCTGGACTTCCGGGAAACAGAGTAGGTCTGTGCTGGTCTAGTACTCAGAGCAAAGGCAGCTTTCTCCCTGCTTGTCTAACCACAGAAGAGTCCCAGTAAGACCCCAGGAAATTAGGAGGCACAGGTAGCTCAGACTTGCCCAGCCAAGAGACATTCATTCTCGCCCCCAGCTAGGTAGGACTGCATCTCAGGACAGAACGGCCTCACTAGACACATGCTTCTGATGTCTGACCTTGGAAGAACAAGCCACAGGTGCGAGAACGAGGTGGGAAATTACCCGGCTCCTGTAACTAGTAATGACTTGCCAAGCAGTACGTTTGCAGGGTGTTATTTACTGAAAGGCAATGCCCTGCTGCCACGATTTCCCAAACCAGCCCATTTCCCAGACAGTGGTGAAGTGGAGCCCGGAAACCGGCTTTGGCCAACAACAAGTCTGTCACAGCACCTCTGGGCAGGTCTCAGCTGCCACTTCCAGAACTTGGTGTCCCTCCAGCATTAGCGCCCAGCCCTGTGTTGTAGTTCTCTTTCGTTGCTTTGTTTTAAAATGACAACAGCACAAGCACTGCAGATCTTCAACAGCTCCCATCAAGTCTGACTCATTAGCCACTGGCAGCTTCCAGGACTCCATAAAACTACTATAATTACTTAGATCAAGACACTGGAAATCACCATCCCCTTAAAATGCAGCCTCTCCTAACCCTTTATGGGTGTTAACTCTGAAGCTGACTTGGTTTTGCTAAGAGGTTCCCCAAACCTTGTGTTACATGTGAGAAATCTGGGACCCTGGATGACCATGGCCAACACGAGGTCGTAGAGCTGTGAACACACTTGTGAGGCCTGAGCTCTTCCCTTGGCCACGGCTCTCAGGCTGTTATTTTCTCATTGGGCATCTATTCCTGGTGGCACACGGTTCAGAGGTCTACACTGCCCTGACTCATCAGAGCTGCAGTAAGTGAAAGGACAATTGCTGGTGACCTTACTTTGCCATTTCATGTTGGATCGGCTTGTGAATAACCCAGTGAAGTGTTAAAAAGTCCAAAATGACAATCTGGTGGGAAGACTGTAATACCGTCCCGGTCAGACATTTCAGTATTATCCAGTTGATAAAGGACTGACCAAACAAACCACAAAAACCCAAAAAACAAAAACCCCAAAACAACAACAACAGAAAACAAAACAAAACTAAAATCCTAAACCCTTTAACTCTCTTTAAAAGATTAAGAAACAAATAACTTTGTGTGTGTGTGTGTGTTTTGCTTATATGTATGTTAAATGTATTAGGCACATAAAGAGGCCAGAAGGGGGCATTGGATCCCATGGAACTAGTGTTTTATACAGTTGTGACCCACCATGTGTGCCAGGAATCGAACCTGGGCAGCTCCCCTCCTCTATGGCATTGTTGGGGGTTGATTCCAGGACCATGTTTTACCACTGAACTCCACCTCCAGCCCCCTTTTCAAGTTCTCACTATTTCACCTTCAGTATTTCACAAGTTCAACAGAAAGACTTGGTTCTTCTCAATTTACTTTGGTCCCAAAAAGTTACGTGTGCATCAACTTAAATGCTCGTATTATCACTTTCAAAGGCAAATGTATTACCTGTCAAATGAAAAGGGAACTAGATTCCTCTAAAGCAGTGGTTCTCAACCTTCCTAACGCTGTGACCCTTTAATACAGTTCATCTCGTGTGGTGACCCCCAACCATAAAATTATTTCTGTTGCTACTTCATAACTGTAATTTTGCTATTATTATGTATTGTAATATAAATATCTGATATGCAGTACATCTGACCCCCTCAAAAGGGTCAAGACCCATAGGTTGAGAACCGATGCAAGTCTAAAAGCAAATGGAGAAAAATCTCAATTTCCTAAGCTGAGGAGCTGCTTCTGTTAGTTGGAAGCATCCTATGCATGGTTAGTCGGTCTGCCCCTGTCTCCTGCTCCTGAATAAAGCCAGCACTCCCTTGAGGTTAAAAAGCATATCTATACAATATACTCATCTTGAACATTTGAAGAGAACATGCCAGTGGGCAGTAGGTGATCATATTTCTGGTGACACTGTTTTCCAGTCTCCTTCAAAGAAGGCAAACATTTTCTCTGAAACTAACCCGGATGCAATAAACTGTGGCTGTTATGAGCCTGGGCTCTCTCTTGAGAACGGAGCACAGAGCAGGTACTACTGAGTGAATGTAGGAGTCAGAGAGAACTCGCCTCTGCTGCTGACTTCCTGGTGAGGAGAGTGGTGTTGTTTGGGGAGATCTGTCTGTGTGCCCGAGAAGGGGTCAGCACTTCACAGGGAGTAACCAACTCTTCTCTGCACCTTCTGGTCAACTCTGTGAGGTGCCTACTGCTGTCACAACCTCTTAGAAGAGCCCTGGAGTCAACAAGGGACACAGAGTGTGCAGGTGACTCAGCTGCATTTCATGAACTCAATCCTGAGTTGCTAAGATATGTGTTAGATAAGAGGATTTTATTTACCTGAAGAACTGGCTCATTTTTAACATAGAATTCAAATTCAGAAAGGGACAAGGAAAAAAAGATGAGGGAGAATTACCGCCTTTTCAATATAGAAAGTTTACAGCCTACCCCCACTCCCCAAACACCTAAAAGAGCTGCAGAATTTGGCTTTTTTTTAAAAGGAAGTATAAAGCCCTGGGTGGTTTAAACTAAAAATTTTACATGGCTTGATAGTGCCTCTCAGCAGGCAGTAATCACGCTGGTTAAGGAAGAGGTATTTGTACAGGACATCGGGTGAAGTGAGATATATTGCTGATTCATACATAATTGAGAAGCGGACTGAAAATTGCTGTCCGGGGGGAAATGAATCATTTATGAGAGATCAAATATAGCTGCCTATCATGGACATTCTCTTCTCTAGATAACCTCGTGGTCCTTGTTTGTAAGGCTCTCTGAAGTGGGGGCTGACCACCCAGACAGGCCACAGCAGGAAGACAATTTATTCCTTAATTCTGAACTCCCAGATCGAGGATAGACTCCTGTCCCTGGGTGCTGGGAAGCCTTGCTTTGGCCAGGAGCATGGTTAGTCCTTTGATAACAGCCCTCAGCAGCACTGAAGATGGTCAGTGGGAGGGACTCCCATCAGGATGGGCAGTGCCCCCTGGACAGCCACTCAAGAGCAGGGGAGAGAACAGAAGCCC